GCCGGCGGGCCGCTCCGCAGCACAGGGCGCGAGGGCGAAGAGCTGCAGACTCCCCGGGGGGCTCTTCCCTCTCGTGAAGGGCGCCCGTCGTCCGAAAGGCTTGAGAGCCGGTTTTCACCCGTTTCCCTTTTGTAGACCCCTTTGAATTGTTCATTAATTTTGGAAATACAGGTTTGTAGAAGAAAAACTTCTTTAGTGTCCCCAGCGCCTGGAATAGACCCTCATCTCTCAAACGTAGCTCAGCTTGGGCACTTAACATCACTAGCCATGTATGACCTTAGCAGATAACACTTTGCACTAATAGCAGAATGGCTGCATGCAGAGGCAGCACCTCTGACAATGTAATGTTGTTAATAGATAGCGCTTGAGATCACTATCAAGAATGGTAGGTACAATCCTTACTAGTACCAGCCTCTCCAGCAAAATTCTTGTAAGCTGAAGGACCGTGAAAGCAAATCAGCGCAGAACTTTGTCATCTCTGGGTTTGGGAACAGCAAAAGTCACTGCCAGTACCAGTCTCTGGTGTTGGTATGGGGCTGTTTCAAAAGGTTTATTAAAAGCCATAACTTACTATAATCCCACCATTTAAATAACTCCAGCATCTCCAAAACAGCAACCAAAAAAGTTACCTGCAATCCTTTAGAATCAGTATGAAGAAGATCATTTGCAGATAAGTATTTTTAATAAGATCCTGTGGCTGGTGCTTGAAACTTAACAAACTTAACTGCATAACAAGATGAATGCTACCAGGATAGATTGGATTCTTCATTGCTCAGAATCTCCGAATTGAGATTGGATGCCACTCTGAAAGGGAGGCTGTAGTTCAACCAGGGGTTGCTGCACCTGATGCCAGAATGTTTGGGTGAAGTTCTGTGGTCTTATTTTATCTAGGAGGTTACGCTATGGCATAATGGTCTCTGTTTCTCAAATCATAAAGGTATATGCAGAAGTAGTCAGAGACAAAATGAACTCTCAAAGGCTCTAAACTATGAAGCTTGTTTATACTTTTAAATACTTGCTGATAATGAAGCTGTTTGGCAGATGTCCTGGTAAGTAATCTTGGAGAGAGAAACCCCCCTCCCATGAATTTCTCTTTTTCCTCCTAGGTCGTGTGATAGGTAAGTTTCTCTGCTCTGGAGAGAAGGAGGTAGATCTGGCTGTGCAGAGCGCAAAAGCTGCCTTTAAAATATGGAGTCAGAAATCAGGCATGGAACGGAGCAGAGTACTGCTGGAGGCGGCCAGGATTATCCGGGTATGTAGTGGATCTAGCTTCTTGTCTGTTGGCATGGTATGGTCTTGTCCTTGAATATTTTTCTGAGCTACTCCTTGAATGCTGCACAGCATATTAGCAGAGTCCAATGGCGATCTTTCTTTAATACTCCATGCATAATACCATTTTAAAGTCATCTTTGAACCTGGAATTGCTCAGGAAGGACATCCTGTCTTATCATATAAATGGCAGCAGCCTTGTTCCTTCCAGTGATATGGGTGCATGCTCCTGATTTGTTTAGAGTCCCTCCCCTCCCCTCCTTTTCCAATGTGTCTATCCCTTGTAAGTTATACCATTGTAGGTGCCTGGACTCATCTTCTATTTGGAGAAGAGGTGTTTTAGCTGTTATTACTGCCTTTCCACCCACATGGTGGGAAGGTTGCTCTACTAGCACCTACTGGGGTGAGCTAGTTGTCTGTCTGCTCTGCACGTTGATGTAATTTACATTGGCTTACCAAAGTGGCATAAGTTAAATTAATGTTAACATGTTTTGTGTCCTGGCCCTGAGTTTAGGTTTTGGGGTCATGTTGGTTATCTCTGTACTGCTGCTTTGACATGTATCCATATAACACGTTTAATTTTGCTTGCCAGTGTAACAATCCACATAAGCTTACTGGAGGTGAAACATCACAGGTCACAAATTTCTAGTTCCCTCAGGTCAAGAAATGAGGCTGGTATCCATGTTATTTTAAAACTTAAGTTGCATAACTACACAACTTCAAATTTAAATAGCATAATTGCCCTACACTTGCTTCATAGCTGTGGAGTACAGTAACCTCTGATTGGAATGTGGTAAACTGTGACTCATACTGGGGGAAAACATGAGGTCTTTGGAACAGAAAAGTCTATTTGATTTGTTTTTTAGGCTTGTTTCTTCTGGATTTCAGAGGTACTTTCTTTCTTTTCCTCTTCATAGTCCAGTTACCTTACCCTTATACTAAAATCATAATTCTGTTTTCAGGACAGGCTGATAAGCTCCAGCTGAACCTAATTATTTATTTTTTCCATATTTCTAGTTACTTTAAGTCCCTTCTGCATTTGTTATGTTCTTACTGTTTGCAATTTCTCCCAGTTTCCTGAACTTCATTAATACTTACTCTCACTTATAACTAATTTTAATAATAGACAAATTTTAACAAAAGTAGAAGTAGGGTCAGAAGGGACCTTGTAGATCTTCAAG